TACAAACCAAATCCATGGTTAAGAAAGTACTGTTTGTGTTTGGAGGTGGCCTTGGGAAATGATACATACAAATGTACTGGTATTATATGATTGAGTCTTTTGATTAAAAAAATTAAAATAAAAAAGGAACTCTAGTGATAAGCTAATCCTTAAAAATATGTAAGTGGTTTTGTGTTATCAAAGAAACACAGATCAAACATCCACTTATCACAAAACTATACTTGTATTCTAAGTAGAGAAAGTTAAACGCAGATGGGGAAAACTCTATCAACCAGCAAATAGTTTCAATGAGACCACTCACATAAGAAAAAATTGCAGGATCAAGCCTCTTATGTTTTTAATTATACCAAGACACCAGCCAGGGAAATCAGTAGTAGTCTGAAAATTTATCTTGACACTTTTGCCTCCTGGTTCGTTAGAAATCAGAAACAAGGTAATTAATAAAATCTCACAAATCAGATGTCCTTAAATATAAGAGCACAGTACAAACCTATCCTTTAGTTAGAATGCAATGAATGACTTATATGAACTATTGTTACTATTACTGCTCCAGACAAAGTGACTCCATCTGTAACGTCCATTTGAGATAGCTGATCTGAAGGACAATGCCACAGGATAATCTTTTGATGCAGCATTCGTTTTGTATAACTGAACAGTTATCTGAAAGGAGAAAACCATTATATCTTGTCACATTGTTCCATAAGACGTGATCATGCTTTGATATAACATGGTAAGTTATTTTTATCCCTCTCTACCTTCATGCTGGAACACAAGAACTGTTAGCAAGTTAGACCACTGTGGCATGAGAAGGTAAACAGTGTAGCCCTAAAGAACAGAATTTTTAAAGTATAGCAGGAGATCAGAAAACTACTGAAACCTATTTACACAATACATTTGTGCAGTATTGCATTTCAAAACTGTTAAACTGGTGTGTTACAAAACTGAAAAAATGTATTGTACTGACAGGAATATGATGGTGCTGCATACACAGTAGTTTTCAAGCAGTAGGTACTTTGCAAAAGGATTGGTAATTGTTGATACCAGATTATTTTAAGTTAAAGAAAGGGAAATAGTCCCATGCTAAAAACAGTAACATTTTATTTCACCAGTGGCCAGAGTTACAAAAAGCCGTGCGTAAGTAGAACTCAAGAAATGGCACATGAATATAAGAAACCAAAATGAAAAGAAACAGGTTCTTCTAACTGACTGCGATGCTAGATAATTTTTGTCTTTGGTAAGTGGCAGCACTATCTTCTTGTGTTTTAGTTAACTTATTCACAGAACAAAGTCCTGCATTCGATGTGCTTCTACAAAACAGCTGACCAATTACTACTATAAAGCAAACTTCAGAGTTGCATGCTCTCAGATGGTCTCCATATTTTAAACATGGACACACCTCACGCACAGGAAAAACTTACATTGTTTTCAAAGGTACACAAAAATGTTAGTGATGTCTCCTTTAAAAGAAACAGTTTAGTGCAATACAATATATTGAAACACATGAACCCTGCAAAATGGCAGAAATGAAATCTACAAGAGAAGAAATTTCCAGGTGAAAAACCTGCTGTGCACACACTGTCCTTGTTTAATCATGAAGAGCTTTGACCATTTAATTCAATGCAATGTTTGACAGCATTTAATTTCAAGCATAAACAATTCACCATGACTCAGATTAAATAAAAAAAGTGCTGGCAATTAGCAAATTAAGTCTTTTGTCTTGCTAACTAACTTTCACACTAGTAGTGACAAGTTATGTGTAGACTAAAAGAAAGAAAACAGGGAACAGATTTGGAGGAGACTCCTAAAAGGAGGCAGGTAGACATAAAACACCTTTGAAATGAATTGCATGGAATGAATCCCTGGCCTGGCTGATGCTGTTCACCAGAATGTGGAGCACATTTAATGTATGAATCTATTTCTTTTGACATCAATTTTGAAAAATTTCCAAGTGAACAAAAATGAACAACCCCCAAAACAAGAGACAGACTCTGATTACAGACTCATCTGACTCAACCAGTTTACAAGTTTAATTTTTGTACTAAGAAAATTTCTCAGACAGAACAAATCATTGGTATCAAATACTTGAAAACTGATTAGCATTTAAGGTTTTTGGTTCCACTGACAGAAAGAAATCCAACTGCTGAATAACGAGGTGGAATAGCATTAAAAAGGTCTACAAAAAATGTATGACTAGAATAATGAGAAGCTGATACTTGTCTGAAAAATAGGGTCTCATATGTGAACCTTTGTCCTGGAGCTATACATCTTAATTATACTGCCATTGCGACTGTTACTTTCCATTTAAAGACATTTACTGTCAAAGAGTAAGCAGAACATGCTGACAGTTTTTTCTATTTCATGCTACTTAATTAACTACTACTTATCTCTGGTGAACACCCTAAGATGTCAAAGGATAATAAACAGTGAGAAAAGGCAGTATGCGCAGCTTTCTCTTCACAAGAAATTAAAACATTTCTTCAGCTAAAGGAAAGAAACAGTATGACCTCAGACATAGCAATATGTTAGTATTAGTAGTTGGCTTAGTGATTTTGGGAAGGGACTGGGAATCAGGGAAGCTAGGTTTGTACCCTTTCCTCTGCTCCTGGATTAGTAAAGTGACAGCTTCTCTATGCCTTCACTTTAACTTCTGTGAAATGAAGAAAACTTTACATCACTTACCCAGACATGGAGCTTAGAAAATGTCAAGAGAAGAAGAGCTAGCTGTTACAGAACTCAGTTCAAATGTCCAACGCAGTCCATGAACTTTTAACTTTCTATCCATAAACTATCCTTACAAGAACAAAAATCACAAAGATGCACAACCAAAAAACTAAGCAATACCATTCAGAAAAAAAATAATTACCTTTAAAGGAAAAAATGTGGTGACTCTCTAGATGCACAAGAAATAATATAAGCACACAGGAATTAACCTTCCTGAGGTTGATTGTGTCATATTAAATATTAACAGGAGTACTTAATCACATTAGAGTACTTATCCCTGTACAGCCAAATGTCATTCTGAATTACAGCATCTCTCAAAAATGTCTACATCTAAATTAAAACGGATTAACAGACAAGAGAACAGCATTCATACATACAGCCAAAACTGTTTTGCCAATTCAAGCCATGGCATTAACTGACCATCAAAACTCCAAAGTCAATCATTCCTTCTCTGGTACACTGATCTAAAACAAGATGCGACAGAACCAGCAGGCAGACTTGAACAACACTTCATTATAAGTTCCCATGAAAAGTTTCCAGGGAAAAGAATTAACTAAATTTGAAACTATTTTGTTTGGTACAGGTCAATCTAGCAGGAACTTGCAGTTTACAGCTCCATAGCTTCAGTGGCACTCTCACTGTTTAAATGTCATGAAGCTAAAGACTTCAAGAGCTCAACATATTTCTCATTAACCTAAAGCACAGATTTAAACTAGCAAGAAAGCTCTATATATCCTGGAAATGGTCTAGAACAGAGTTCAGCAAACTAGGCCCACCGGTGGGATCTGGCCTGCAGACATGGGACTTTGGCAACAGTTGCTTTCTCTGGGCTGCCACTGGCAGCAGCTGGGTCCTAGCTGCTCTCCCTGCCTGCCTCTGACCCAAATTGGGTCCACCCAACCCACAGCCTTAAAAGGTTGCTGACTGCTGGGTCTGGAATAACTGTTGGCATTGTACATGTTCAACTAAAAGAAAACACCAACACTGTGACAGGTCAGTCACCAGCAGCATCCAAAATGCAGAATACTATCATTATTTCTTAAAGATTGTGCACCCGTGGGGTTTGTAAAACCTTCACTTACATGAGTCACAAAAGGACCATAGCACCACTATGATACCTATAAATCAAAGGATTCCCTGTAGCACTTGCAGATAGCCCGTTAAATTAGAAACTCCTGAAGTCTGCTTCTAAAGCTTTAAAAGCTTCTTTTTAAATAAATAAATAAAGCAGCCTTGAGCACAACAACTCTGTATCGAAAGTAGCTGCATTGCTTCTCAAATTCAAAGTGACAGCCTGCCTATCAACATACTACTCATTGGACTTGTAAAAACACCGCAGTTTTCTAGGGAGCCCTGACTCTAAGCAATCCTCAAGTTGCCTTTTGCTTTCATTCAGTCAGAAATTGGCAGACTGACTCCCAGGGAATTCATTCTTTTTTAGCTGCAGGCCAACTGATGTTAGTGGGAAAAGAGCATTTTTAGTGAACTCAAAATATTGTGAGCACGATGCACACTGAGCATGGTTAAAAGGAGGCATTAGAATAGTTTCCTTTCCTTTTCTGTCCAACGATTCATCTCGCCTTCATTTGTAGGGCCAGAGACTGAGGAAACTCCCCCAAAAGTGGAGTTGTAGACAAACAAATTTGGTGACTTCAGTAAGCAACTCTGGAATGCCAGTTTACAGGAAGCTTCTGATTTTGATCACACTTTCATGACTAATTTCAAGGGTTTTTGGAGGGCAAAGGCTTTGTCTTCAGATAGCTTTGTGCACAGGTGAACAATTACATTGCACAGAGGTTACATTCAATTAGAACATGTCGGAGCAGACTCAATTAATCGAGTCTGCTGCAAGTCTAATTAGCATTCTCCAGCAGCCTCTGTGTCACATGTATTCAGTGCCCCCACTTTCCAAATTGCTGGTGGGGGTGCTTTAACTAAAGCTCGTTGAACAAGCCTTAGTTAAAGCACCCTTACCACCATTTTAAAGTGCGGGATGCTGAATACATGTGATGCTGCGGGCGTCCTGCCCTTCCACCCCAGACCATGTGTACAGACACCCTTAGAGACTAACTCTGTACTGAAGATAATCTTCATAGCTTCCTTGTTAAATCTAGCTAATGTACCAGCTGAACAACATGCTTAACCACCTATTTAACTTCATTAAATCAGGGACTTTTAGAAATGTGCTTAAAGTGTTAAGTGTTGTTGAGTCGGGGACTAAATCTGAATAAGGTAAGTATATCCAATGGGTTAATTCCCTTAATAATTTGACAATGGAGTCTTTTAAAACTTTTTATTTGACAACAGTGAAAAGGAACAGGAAGGAGAGTATACCAAGTTATACACAAGGTTAGCAGACTAGAAACAGTTCCAACACAAATTACAAGAAATCAAAATTAAAACCCATCTCCATGGAATCTTCTGAAAAGTTCATTTCCCCTCTTCTCCACAGATCTAAAATAGTCAAACTGATTTAAACCAGTAATTTGCCAACATTATAAACAATGCAACTTGTTAGGGATTGCCAATATGTTCCTCTAAAATGACAAATGTGATGTAGCCCATCTCAGCAGCGACCCAAACTTAACTATCATATGAATGCAGCTTAGTGACTTATGCTAAACCAGCCAAGGGCTCAGCTTCTATTGGAAGGAATCCAAATGACAGAACCCAACACAACTGGCACAAATGTTGCAATCCGTTAGCAGTTTCAGTAGAAAAGGCAAGTACAGAATGGGCCAGGAGTTCTCATATCCCAGGACAGTCCTAACTGAATAGGGTTGAGGACTGCAACTGCCTATGCTAGAACATGATCTGCACACAGAGGAATAAGATCTCCAGGATCAATCTGGCACCCATCAGAATTCAATTCAAAGAAATTCTTAAATAAATTAAAAGGCATACACTATTAGTTGACATCAAAGTAGCTCATAAAACATATATATTCTCTTAGAATATCACCTAAAAATGTTTTGAAACTCAGAAGAAAGAAGCATGATTATGCCAATCTGTGAAACACTTTAAGGCATCTTTAATATTGCAACTAAAATGTTATTTATGTTCCTTTTTTCCTGGTTATTTTATAAGAGAAAAAAAATTACGGAATAATGTGGAAATTTTAATGACCATTGATTGCTGAAGTCCCCATACAGAAAATACACTGACGGTAATAAGATTATTTCAATGAACAGTTACTTGTGTAAATGTTTTCAGGATGGAGCCCTGAAGTTGCTACTTCCTTCAAAATTGTGTTGTTTAATTATCTTTTGATCAACTCCCCTTCATACTCAATAATAAATTATCCTCAATGTCAACTAGCTTCAAAGATTGCTAAAACGCATTGGAATACATCAATTTGCAAGTGCACATCCAGAAAAAGCAGATGAAGAGCTGTTAGAAAAACCACAGCATCTGTGCTACAACCAAGAAAACATGCATAATAACTAAATGCTAACAACTGCCAACTTGGCACAGATAGCAATAGATTAATACACTCAACATAGACACTTAAGGGGGTTTTGAATACAAAAAATGTATTTTGGTCAGCCAAGCCCGCTTTGCACTTTATAGCACCTTAGACACAAGGATCTAAAAGTGCTTCATTAAAAACATTAAGGGTGAAATCAACAGGAGTTTTGCCATCAACTTCAAAGGAGGCAGGATTTTGCCCTACATTTTTAGTATACTTTGAGGTAGGTAGGTAGGAGAATATAGTGGGATCTCATCCCACCCAGATAAATGCTCTCACCTTTATTAGTGGAAGGTGACAGCTGTTTTGCAGTGAACAAAAACTCTGTGCAACATGTGAGGACAAAAAGAAATATATCCAATTAGAGCTGAATTTATGTACACTGAAAGTTATAAATGAAAATAAAATAAAATATTAAAGACCAACAAAAACATCCATGCTTTTTTAAGAGATACTAAGGAAGTTGTTAAAAATATTATCCAAGAAACAGCATAAACTACAGCAGCGTAAAGACTCCCTTACACGTTAGGATGGAGCACTGAGCCTAACAGAGACAAACAGCATCTTCTACTGAGTTAAAAGAGAACACTTAACCTGAGCATCCAGGGATTCACTGAAAATTTCCTAGCAAGTATTAACCGCAATAGACTCCTCTACCTTGCAAAATCTACCAAAAAAACCCAGTTAGTATAGGATAGTATGGCTTACCCACCCCCCACCTTTTTAAAGGAAATTTAAATAAATTAAATAAATTAGTAACAAGTAGTCACATTAAACTAAGGACTACAATATGCACATTTCAGCATGTGTACACCCTGTCACTTTCTCCCATGCAGAATATATGAGTTAACTGTAAATTCTTAGGAAGATGCTAGAAGCTGGCATGTGTAGTTCAGTAGTTACACTGGGTAAGACAAAAAAGGAAGTTATCCATCCTCATTATTCATGGAATAACACTGGGAAACTTCTGTTTCTGTCCATTCTCCCCTCCTCCTCCTCCACCCCCATCCTTATTCCTTTTCTTCAGGCCAGCATCCTGCAAAGGGAGGAGACATGAATAAGGAAGGCTAAACTTATGACAAAACTGATTTCTGCACAAGTACAGAAGGAAGCATGAAATCAACCACTCACTAAGTCTGGGGTCTGCCTGAAAGCAAACAAACTGACCTGGGAAGGACAGAGGAATAAAAAGAGCAGTCTATGCAGTCTCCCTTCCTTGAACTTTTAGACTAACTTCAGGGTTTATGAATTAATTTCCAAATGAAGACATTTCTAGGGACTTAAGTTTTTAAGTACTAGGAACAGGACTAAATGGAATGGTCTAATTAGATATTAAACTCCAGATTAATAAGTAGTGGGATAGTCCAGTCACTATAGCAATACTCCTTCCATCATATTTTACTACTTATTCAATAGCTTCTCCATTTACATGTTCTTAATTAAATTTACTGAACAAAAGTGAATCTCTATTCAGTATCTGCATTTATGGACATTTATATTCTCCTTTTATAAACAACAAGCAAGCAGAACAAGCCACCAGTCAGTAGTACTAGTTACTGTGTAAGAACATGACACTTTCATATTAAAAGTCAGAAAAGCCAGAACATATTAATGGAGTTCGTACACCTGTCCTGTTCTTCAAACTGTGTCATTTACTCAAGAATATGTATTTTTCAAGAAAATATGATTGTCCATAAAAGGCAAAATGCAAGATTCACTTTCTTCAAGATCATGGTCAACTTTTCCTCTCTGGTTTGCAGGCACTGTTCATAAAGCAACTTGGAAAAAACTTAAGAAAAGGATACTCAAAGAAGCTGGGGGACAGATATACCATCTGAAAATAGTGACTACATTTCAGGTCAACTCTGTCCCTTTAAATGAAGGATTTAGCCATTTAACACATTTTCTATTATGGTTCTGGTTTTTCTGCAAAGGCAAATGGATCACTCAGCTTTATCACAAAAAGCATTCTCTCTCTCCCCAACAGTGTCTGCAACCATTGTGGATTATTGTTCAAAAAGTCACAGACACCCTGCATATGATTTCATTGGTGGCACCCTCCATGAAGAAAGAAGTACTCCTATTGACTTCAAAAATCACATTCAAATATTTGCAGAACTAGGACAGAAAATGGGGTTCTTTAAACTTATTGCTTATCAAGCACTTTGAAATCCTTGAATGAAGCATGCTATCTACGTGCAAAGTCCTATCAGTACTGTCAGACTCCATTTAAAAACAAATTAGAAATTTCTCACATTTTTCCAGTTTATCTCACACCAATTCTTACAAAAATAAATATTCAGGAGAACAAAACAGACATTTCCCCCACAGTTTTAGCAAACAAGTTTGTTGTTGTTGTTAAAATCTGCAATATTTTTCAAAAATATCAAAACACCAAGAGAAACTGAGGGCATGACTTAGGGCCCTGTTAGCTACATTATAATTCATTCTAGCTTCATTCTTTTGGTAGTTTTTGGCAAAGACTTGAAAGAGGACAGCTTCTTGCCGTTCATCAGTCCTTCTCAACCAATTTTAGTTGATGCTGTTTATTTAGAATTTTCCTCCTTGGAAGACATCATCAGCATTTTAAATCAGGCATCACCAATCTTTTTTTCTACTATGCTTCCGGTTTCAAAACATTTAGCCCAGTAATGCTTTCCCAAAGCTGGTGTACAACTGTATATATGCTATGCATTCAAATTACCAGACTACGGTCTTACATTTAACTTACAAATAGCTCTGTAAATTATTTACAGTTTTATGACTAATCAGATTTCAGGTAACCAATGTTCTTAAGGCAAATTCATTTATATGACTGGCTGTTTGGTCTCTTTCTCTTTTCCTAAAAACAAAACAAAAATATTTGACTGGCCAAGAATATCACATCTGAAATTTAGTCTCTCCCTTATATTAATGGGAATCGCTTGTAGGTATGAAGAGAAGCACTAACCCCTTATGACCCTTCCTTAAAATGAGGGGGGAAAGATTTACAAATGCATAATTAATATGGTTTACCATCTGGCATTCTTGTGCAAGTCAATAAAAGCAATAAGGTGCATACTAAAAACTGAAGGTTGCAGTGCCATTTAAGAACGTATTTTTTGTATATATGTGAGAAATGGATTTGAGAACTTGGGCAAAGCATCAGTTTAAAGCTGCACAGCCCTTTTAGAACTAGACTTAAATTTGCTGTAAGATCTGAATAGTCCAAAGGTATGTTTTGTAACAAGTGATACTGCTTAATATAAAAATGCAGCAAAGAGTTTATTTTCTATGCACATGTTCAATTATACTAGAACCTTTCCATTGCACCGTATTGCTGTGTAAGATGCCACTGACTATTAAAAGGGATTTTACACATCTCACCAATTCTTATCTGTGAATAAAAACTGGCTTTTAAAAAATAATACCTTTTACTATACAATTGTATACCTAAGTGCAATCACAGTGCAATCCCTTCTGTCAACATACAGCCAACCAATCCAAGCATATTTTGATAAAGTAGTTACAACAACTCATACAGCAGACATGCTTAGTGCCTTTCTTTCACAAGTCCCATACATCACTTTGTTCTTGCTGTTTTCAGTGGTCAGTGTATGGAAGTAGTTAACTATTGGGGTTTGGAGTGTTTGTGAACAAAGCAGACTCTATACTGAATGCAGAGATCATCTTTGGGAGAGATGAAAGGTGGGTATTTATCGATTAGCTTTGTATTTAGAAGCATCCCTGGGTTCACTGCTAGGATTGCTCCAGTCATCAGCTTCAGGTGTGGTCTTATAGTGTCGCCATGCTGACTTATTAAAAACTGGAAGTCTTTCAAATGATTCACTTGAAAGAGCCTGAAAAAGAAAAGCAATGGTAAGAGACCATTGTTAAATAATGACAAACAAGTGGTGATGATAAATAACAATTTTAAGAATATTCATTCCTGTATGCAACTAAAAGTGTCAATTATATATTTTACATGTTCTCACATATTATTTTAAAAGCTGTTTTGATTATACTGATGGCGTGTAGAGGATCCTTGTTCAAAACAGATTATAATGCATTAAAAATCCAAAGAAAATATAATCCACTTAGAAACACTGCCTCAGTTCCAAAAAACTACACAAAGAGAACAAAGAGATGAAGTAGTTTAATTAAAATGTTTCAGGGAAGCTTTTCTTACCCCGCCCCCACGTCTCTTCTCCCCCTCTGAAATGCACACGTGTTAAGTCCCCAAGAAACAGCTGGGGCATTAAGGATTTAGGTGTAGAAAGGCTCCTGTGGGAAGCCATGCATCATGGGAAGGATCCAGACGGGCTGTAAAAGGTAAGCCCTGTCTTCTTCTTTGGCGATCCCTCGCAGTCGAGGATGATTGCCTTTCATGATTGTCTTATCTGTGTGTCCAAAGATGGCTGATGAGGCCTATCTGGGATCAACAGACTCTACTGCAGCTCAGACACGCATTTCCATGTGGGGTGGCACTGGATTCTTGATTTGGTCTGTGACACTCCATTTCTGTCATTCCCACTTTTCCACCTCCTGTTGTTGTTGCTGTGAGGTTTCAAAGCACCGAGATCCCTGCAGCAGACTCGTCTTCCACTTGGGGCGATACTGGGCGATAGTCTTCCATGAGTTGACATCGATGTTGCATTTTTTAAGTTGACCTTGAAATGTCCCTGAAGCACTTTCTCTGTCCTCCTCTTGAGCATATGCCTTGGCTGAGCTGGGAGAATAAAACTTGCTTTGGGAGTCTGGAGTCGGACATCTGGATGACATGGCCAGCCCAACAAAGTTGATGTTGGATGATCATTGCTTCAATACTCATAGTGTCTGCTTGCAGAAGGACACTGACATTGGTGCATCCTGTCTTCCCGCTGGATTCAGAGGATCTTCTGCAGGCAGCATTGATGGTACTTCTCCAACAACTTTAGATATTCCTGTGCACTGTCCATGTCTCAGCTCCATACAGCAAGATGGAAATCACAACTACTTGATAAACCATGAACTTGGTTTCAGATCTGATGTCGCAATCTTCGAACACGTTTCTTCAGGTGTCCAAAGGCTGCACTTAGACATTTGAGGTGATGTTTGATTTCTTTGTGGATGTCAGCCTTCTGCAAGAGATGGCTTCCAAGGCAGGGGAAATATTCAACGTTTTCCAAAGTCCCAACATGAATCTGGATTACCGGAGCTGGGGACTGTTCACATTAAGAGCTTGTTGGTGGAGGACCTTAAGTCTTCTGAATATTAAGTGTCAGTCCCATTTTCTTGTATGCCTCAGGAAAGACACTGGTGATTGCTTGAAGGTCTGCACGAGTGAGCACATGCTACAGCATCATCAGTGTACTGGAGCAATGATTGAGGTTGGGGTGGTCCTCATTCTGGCTCTGTTGGCTGAGGTTAAACAGCTTACCATCCATTTGGTAGTTTAACTCCACTCTGACTGGAAATTTGTTGCTGGCCAGATGTAGCATTGCAGCAAGGAACATTGAAATGAGTCTTGGAGCGATGACGCAACCTTGCTTAACTTCCATTTTAATATCAAAGTGATCTGTGTCAGATCCAGCACTGGGAACCACCACTCTCAGATCGTGTCATGGAGCAGGCAGAGAATGGTGACAAATTTTGGTGGGCATTTGTACTTCAGAAAGATCCCTACATCTTGGCTGAATTGAAAGCTTTTGTGAGGTCAAAGATGGCCATGTAGAGGGGCTTACATTGTTCCTAGTATTTCTCCTGCAGCTGGTAAGCTGTGAAGACCATGTCAGTTGTGCCTCTTGATGCCCTAAACCCACATTAAGATTCCGGAAGCAGCTCTTCAGCAAGTGGAAGAAGATAGTTCAGAAGGGTTCTCACAATTATCTTTCCTGTGAAGGACAGCAAGGCGATCGCTCTGTAGTTTCCATACTCAAACCCGTCTCCTTTCTTGAAGATCATCACAATCATGGCATCCCTGAGGTCATCTGGGATTTCCTCATCATTCTAGATCCTTAAGATGAGGGCATGAAGCTACAATGTGAGCTCCTCTCCTCCCTGTTTGAAGATTTCAGTGGGGATTCCATCTGCTCCAGATGCCTTTTTGTTCTTCATATGCTTGATGGCTTTCCTCACCTTGTCAAGGGTTGGAGGGATTCCAAGATCATTTCTGACTGGGTGTTGTGGGATGCGGTTGAGAACACTTTCAGCAACAACAAAGTCTTGATTGAGAAGAACTTCAAAATGTTCCTTCCATCACGCATTGATGGCTCCCCCTTTCCTTGATCAGGTCTCCTCCATCCTTAGGTCTCAAGGGGATTGGTCCCCGAGTGCTTGGACCACAGATGGCTTTGGTGGCACTGAAGAAACCATGCACATCAACAAAACGTTAAATATCCTTAGCCTTGTCATCCCACCATTGGCTCTTCACTTCACATGTCCTCCTTTTAACCTCTCCCTTGGCTGGATGGAGATTCAATTTCTTTTGCTTGGACTTGTAGCCCAATAAGCTCTGTACCCCATGCTGGAATTGAGGACTACCATGGTTTAGCATTTTGCCTACATTTTCTGTTTACTGAATAACTTACGTCTGGAAGCAAGGTCCAAACAAATGCTGACACTTCCCTGCTTCTGGGCAGGTCAGCAAGTTAGTTTACTGGCATACACATCTCCTCTTTGAATCAGATCTTATCACAACACTCCAATGCCTTTCCCAGCTTTTACTGTAAAGCCTTGGGGCAAGCCAGAAGATAGTGCAAATGGAGCTATTCACTGATAATGTCTTAGACCAGTTCTCTGTGACCCGCACTGGCTTCCAGTTAACTTTTGGTGGAATTCCAACAGTCAGTTTAGGTCCATAAACACACCCATCCCAAACAGTGTGGGATCTGGTTGTCTGAGATGTGTGTCTCCCCCTGTAACACACTACTGCACTTGGGTTCAGAGACATTTGAGCTGGACTTCCTCAAAATGAACAAGGCAGCACTATGGTAGTATTGCCTGTGAAGAGTCCTCATTTTTGGAACTCACCTCTCTTTCCTTTTTCTACAAGATATTTTGGTCTTCTGGAAATGTGTCAAAGTCCAGCCTCTTTTTTTTCTCTCTTCTGTTAGGGCTATGGAGAAATGGGTGGACTGAGGAAGATATGTCCTTTGTTAATGATTATGTTGCAATTTCTGGTTTACAGCAGGGGTGTCAAAGATCTAAGTAACAGAGCAGTTTCACCTGGCCTGTCATGCCACTAGAGAGACTATGAATTTAGGCACAGAGCTCCCAATTGTAGAAGCCGGTCAGTAGGGAGAAAGGGGGGGGGGGCATAAACAACAGCTGCATTAACTACTGTGTTGCTGCCAGGTCCATATGTAGCTTGGGGGCCCAGGCAAGTTTGACACCTATGGTTTATAGGATAAGTTTCCACAACACTGAATGGGAACCACTTTGGACATCTAGATAAATAAAATCAACAGGCAGCCAAGAGAAGTACAACATTTGAGATCTGAACAAAATTTGAGTTTTGAAGTCATTCATTTTAATGCAGCAGTACAGAAAAAGCAGCCAAGAGCTTTTCCAAAGGAGCCAAGAGCTTTCCAAAATCAAACCCAGATATTTTATTCAATATTTTCCAGACAATAACTGTCTAGCCTTCATTGACTAGGAGCAGAAAATGTCCTCAAAAGGGAGGGCCCCAGCTGTGAATGAAATAAAAAATTGGAAATAGACGTGAAGAAAGATAGGAAAAAAGAATCTGGTGCACTTCAATCTAAAGTATGCAGAATAACTACATCCAGTCAAATCCAGTTCTCTGTATTCATTTGTAGTAATGAGCATCAGAAACCAAAAGGACAAAGAAAAGAATTCACAAAAGCAAGAACACACAAGGTAAAAACCTAATCACTTCAATATGGAATAAAAATGTTGAACAGGGTTTAAAAATAACGAAAACTAATGCAATATCAATGCCTATGGTTAAAAATGGCTTCATTTAAAGTCGGGATTCTCATGTAAGATTTCATAGATTTCATAGACATTAAAGCTGGAAGAGACCTCGGAAGATCATCGAGTCCAGCCCCCTGCCTGAGGGGCAGGAAGTCAGCAGGGGTCATAGGATCCCAGCAAGATAAACATCCAAATGTCTCCTGAAGTTGTTCAAAGTAGGTGCTTGAACAACCTCCGGCAGTAGACTATTCCAGACCTTGGGGGTTTGAACAGTAAAGAAGTTCTTCCTTATGTCCAGCCTGAAACGGTCATGGAGGAGTTTGTGACCGTTCGATCTTGTCATCCCTTGGGGCGCTCTGGTGATTTAAAATAAAGTATACCAATACAAGTGAGAAACAAAACCTTGTATGTCTGGAAACAAAATTTCTTGAAAAAGGACAGTTAAATGAATTCCTTTTTTCCAGCAGAGACCTTTACTGCTAGCATATAAAGATATCACTCGGAGCTTTACTACGTTATAATGGAGTCAAAAATATTACCTTCAAATAAATTACAGCATCAGTACCCACGCCTTCCATTGAGTAGAGTTTGAGGTCACCTTGAAAGTACCTAGCATAAAGACGAGAGATTGGCAAACCATAGCCAAATCCAGCCTAAGAAACATAAAATAGAGGAAAACTGATGTGGTAAGGAAGTTTAAAATCAACACGCTATTACATACAAGTTGTTACTGAACAAAGTTATTAAATTTCCCTCGCTTTTCCCTTCAAACCTGGCTTTGTTCCTCAGCCTACATAATTTGTTGCAGGAAAAATCTGAATGCCCTTTTGCCTATAATAGGATTTACTAACTTAAATATAGAAGAGGTTAAAAAAAAGTCAACAGCAGCAGCACATCTTGGAAACATACAAAAATAGGAAGAAAATCTTGCTACAGTGTCTTCAGTAGGCCATCACGTGCATTGTTAGCCTTTCGAGGATGCTGTTAGACTAAGCAGTCCCCAGCCATTAAAATGGGATGATTCTCTGAATGACTCTTTCAGGATGGCAGGAAGTGGTGCAATATTCCATTCATCGTTCAGTGGTACCAAGTATCTGACAGCAGTTTATTACCTGGGATTTTATTCTCAGCAGTTTCTACGCTTAGGAGATTGTGGAAAAAGCAAGGGCTCTGCAACCTTCAGCTAGTCTACACTGCTAAATCAATGATTGCTGATGGCATACTGCAACAGAAAACGGAAGAGAGTTGTAGGGCAAATAACTGCAACTTTCTTCATGCACAAAGTAATACTAGGCAAACAGCCCTTGCTATGGCTATCCACCCCTCAAATAACTGTCACTGCAGCACAATGGCTCTTCTGTTGAACGTTCAGGTTTTGATACAGGCCAAATAACTTGCCAAGGCATAGATGTCTGTCATAATATAATAAAGAACACTTTTCTTGCGATTTCCCAGTTGGTCTCATAAAAGGTATCATTTTGGAACCAGGAGTTCTAGTTTTTTGTCAGTCATAATATGCACTCATTTTCAGTCTATGACCCATATAACCCGAAAGGCAACGTAGCCTTGCCCCTCTTATGGCCCAAGCCTATGTGAAATTAGGGATAGCATTGGTTGTGGACACATGTAACAACTGAACCAGTCCCATATGTCATTGATCTGGAACCAGTTCCAATTGTTGCCAGCCAGACATGTCCAATGTACAATACCCTTAATTTCAAGTGGGATAGTTACCATTTGGGCATTAAAGTTCTGGGGCTCCAACACCAGGGAGTGGGAGTGACCACCCAGCACAGCATGCCTTGCAGTGGGGGCAGAAGGGAGCGCTTGCACCCACATGTTGGGAGTCCCAGGGATGGCTGACCTGTGGCTTGGGGTGTTTTCAATTTTCTGCTTTCCCATCTCTCCTAAACACAAGTTCTATAAAATTCAGTAAAATTGACCAAACTCTCCCGTGTCCTCACCTGCGGGGGAGGAAAGAGCGCTTGGCCCCACGTTTTTAGGTTGGGGGGCATGATGAGGGGCTGCAGTTAAGTAGGGAATGAGGACAGTGCTAGTTGTTAGAGAGTTTTTATTGAAAACATTACAAGGGACCTCACTGATGGAATGCGTCAGTGACATGCGGGGACGGGGGAGGGCATCCAATTGCAGCAGTTGGAACAGAGAAAAGGGGAAGAGGGCGCTGGGACCACTATACACTTTCAAACCATGCCAGGTGGCTTTAAAACAGTTTAATGGACTAGATCATCTGTCTGTTTTAGATTTAAACCAGTCTAAATTCTGTGTGTCCATACACATGAAAGGTATACCTCTCTTTTGCTGTAGAGAGTGGAGCACATTTTACCTACAGATCCTTCAGCCTCCTCAGCATATGCTGAGCTGAGGAAGGAATGTACTTGACTCATTCATTTGAATTTATTTAAGTCATCTGAATTCACTTATTCATTTGTATCCTTCTGCATCAACCAGAGCTATCCACGGACAGGAAAGTAGGTTGCAGCAGATTTAAAGGCATGGCTGTCATGGGTTTGAAAAACAATAAGCATCAAGAAGCTACCAAAGGAAATAGTGTCTATGACTCAACAGAGCAAGAACAGGGTGCTGTCTGTTTTTATAAAGACCTATAATACTTCTAGCCCTGGTAGCCTGGCACATATCAGACCCTTGTATGAATTGGCATAGCTCCACTGAAGTCAATGGCAATATACTGTATTTATATTCACGGAAGATATGGCCCTAAATCTCAAGTATACAATGGGATGCTGTGGTGTCATAGGGTTTAGCAGGGTGAATTCATGACTTACATAAGTGAAACACGACTTCAGCATTCATGAACTATGCACCTATTGCAAATTGATGCTGACAAAACTCTTTATACCACATATCTCGTAATATATTCTCTTACAGCGTGTGTGTGTGTGCATGTGTATTACCCCTCTCATTTCTTTTTCAGAACTCTCCACCCACAACACCACAATGTTTTCCAGGGATATTACCTTGGTTTTTTCCTGATGATTAACATTAGAGACCTAAAACAACTCACAGCATTACTCCATTTAATGTACGTAGAAGGAAACTGGGCAGAGAGATATGCAAGCTATGTGGTTTTTCTATTCACATTGCCTGTCATATACTTAGTTACCTAAAATTGAGGTTTCCACTGTGAAGATAGTGGTTTACTTGTGCTCTCTTAATATTAACACAGCATATGCTAAGCTCAGTTCTTAAAGACTCCCATTGGCTCAGGATATAGGTATGTTCCACTTGCACATTATTTGTGAATCTTTAGGGGCAAGTTCTTTCCAAGACAGCCAATTAGCTTTTCTTAGAACTACTAAAAAGCCAAATCTTTCCTGGAGAGAGGACAATAATTACTTTACAGAAATTAAAAAGCATGTTAATGGGAAGGCTAACACAATGGAAACTGTGCACCCCCAGAGGTGGATTAAGGCTAGATAGGCTCCATAACAATATCAAGTTGCACATCTTCACATACTGTACACTGCAAAGACTTTCCCTCTGGATCTGAGCCTTTGCATGTCTCAGCAACTGACCACTTCGATGACCACTATGATGGACAGAGGGTGACACCATAAGGATCACTGTCAGTGTTATGCTTGATCAACACCAGAAAACAGTCTAGAGGGGAATCACGCTGGCATTCCAAACAATAAAGCTTTCTAACACTAATTTTTCATTATATATTAGATTGTGCACTGTAAAAAGGAGAAATGTATTCCATACTAAGTACATGGGGCTAGCAACATCAGTTAGATCCAATTTAAAGTATATTTCCTTTACTAAGGAAATGTTACCTTGTATGTATGCATCAAACAATTTAAATATGTGATTAATTGATTTCTTTAAAGATTTTACTAACTGTAATTTAACATACAGCGTGTATCAGTGAATTCAACTATTGTTTGCCCATTATACACATGCAGCATGGGTAAACCCAAGACCTTGCCAGGATCAGAATGCTGCCATGGAAACAAGGTTTTTCCACTGACTTAATATTGTTGCAAATATAATTTAAAGAGAAAATGTCCAGCAATATAAACATCAAAATCAAGGAATGTTCCATGCCTTAAGTGCAGCATCAGTTAAAAAAAAAAATTAGAGGAAAAAGCCAAAATGTGAAGTGATTCTTATTTTCTAAGTGATTAAATGGCAAGGTCCAAAACACATTGTATTAACTAGAACATGATTATCACAAAGTCATTAGAACTGCAGACATGCCTTCTAATTCATGGGTTATGGCCGTTTAGAAGTTCTGGTCTCTGGTTTTGATTGAGTAAAACCTTCTTCCTAAGGTAAAAGGATAGGCTGAATGATTTTGTAAAAATCTGAACTTCTTCACCGGAATTTTCTGAACCATTTTATAAATAAATAATAAAATAGAATATAAAATACTAACATAGAATGGTTGATCAGCAGTAAGTCCTCAGCACCTAGAGGTGCAAGAAAACCATTTTGCCAATTGAGAGAGAAACAGAAGGATGTATCAATGAGGTATGAAGGGGAAAATGGAATAGTGTGCGAGTTACAGGAGGTTTTCTCCATCCCAAACCCCCGAATCCTAGAAAGCATCAGAGAGAAAAGAACATAAAACTTGATCAAACAAAGCTCCAATCCCACAAACTCAAGCACATGTGACTGACAATAAGAATGCATACCAGTGTTTGCAGGGCTTGGGTAAGGTCCAAGTGAGCAATTAGGGTGTCCAAGTAATGAAATGTCAGACATTAGATGGAACAAACCTACACATAATTAGGAAAGAAGAGGGCAGTTTTGACTGGACTCACAGATGGGCAGGAAGCTACTAAAAGAGGCAAAGAATAATTTGCTCCTAATGCTTGAATCTTCTGAAAAGGAATTTAGAAAAATCATGAAGAGATAAATTGTAATTGTGAAGCAAAGATGATTTAGATATGAACATAAGGGATTTGTTTTTAACCAGGTCTGTTGTAGAGCTGAGCTCTGGCGATTTTCTGTAGGAGTTAAAAGGCAGATGTCTAGGAAAAGGTGATGCAGAAAGAAGACTGATGTCAAGAAGGACTCCACAATTCCTGGCTTTGGGAACAAGTTTCAGATTGGAACTAAGGAGACAGTTCCATACAACTGCATCTAGGCAAAAGGATGTTGTGAAACACATGCATTTGAAGCATTCATTACTAAGAAGTTAAGCTGTTGAACAAAGTTCTAAAAGAGTCAAGAGAAGTAGACAACGGTTACAAACAGATCAGAGCGCACATGAACATACACGTAGAGACGGTTTATATTTCGACACAGACAACCAAAGCTGAAGCAAATCAAAACACCCTAAAAGCAACAGCTATACGAACAGAAGACTGAAGTAGAGCCTCTAGCTCCTCTATTCATGTAACTATTTTGGGTAGTTTCTACATATACTGTGTGTCCGAATGATTTTCTGTGTCAGAACTAGAGCATGACAGCTTTTCAGAACAGGTATCATATCTTGTTTACAGAAGATGAATACACCTTAACCCTAACCCTAACAAAACCATCTGAAATTTTATGAAAAGCTAAGAGGATTTTTAACTGAAGAGTCCGAGTGAAAAGTGCCCAAGACACTGACTTTTATTTGACATGCACTGGGATACAGGCTGCGGTAGAAACTGTACAGAAAAAATAAAATGAGAAGATGGATATCCACAATAAGAGGCATTAATCAATTTTTTTTTTGGAATAATACTAGTTAGATCACTTTCACCAAGACAAAACTATGGGAAGGGAATAATCCTGTCAGACAAATAAATCAAGAGTTAACTGGTGATATCACCCATCAATTTTTTTTTTTTTTGGTTTTACCATTTCCCAGGGAAGCATCTACACCTGTATGAAAGTCATTTTTAAGAGTTTGATACATTGATGCATTGCTCCAGAAGTGCTATAATATTGATAAATGAAGCTTAACTGATAGGCTAAACTGATAGGCTGACATTCTTATGCTAACTAAAAATGTTTCCATTAATTAATTAATTTTTTTTTTAATATTGTATACAGAGGGTCCCATTTCCAAGAACACCCATGCATAAGCAATTTGTTACTCAAAGTAAGCTGCCAAAAAAGTACACACGCAAAGTGTTCTTACACAATTTGCCTGCATGGAATTACTAATGATATCCAATTTCCTCAATAGGAAAAAAGATTTCTAGGAAGTTATATTGTAGAGAATGGGATCTCTCTAGAAGCAAGACTGCAGGTATGTGATTGCACTCATGCTCCACAGAGAAAAGGGATGAACCAGAATCTGTAATGCTTACCAAAGGTACTGCTCGTGTTGGCTCCAAACTAGGCCTTGGCGCTGTTGAGTACATGTAGTTAAATAACCTGTCTATTTTTCTCAAAGGGACACCGCCACCTTGATCACTTATCTGTGGAATAAAGTCAAAGTTTTACTTAAACACTAAGTATTATCTCAAAAATAAAGTTTACAATATCAAAATACATAACAAGAGATATTTAAATGATAGTTAAATGTATGAATATTACTATAAATGGAACAAGTGCCAAAACTTATCAGGAGGATACAATTTAGGTCCTATAAAATTGAAGACAAATGTATTGAAAACAATGCTAATGAGCAGTTTTACAAAAATTGATTCAGTATTTAAAGAATCATTAGGAATGTACCTTTATGGATAAATCTTCTTTCCCCAAAGTGACTAACGTTTTAATTGATGGATAGGTTTCTCTTTTACCTTGATGCAACTCCACTGTAGCTCGCATTGAGTTCTGAAGTTCAAAGGAAAAAATATTAAATGTTTCATATTCTGATATACTCTTTACCTCTTAACTTTACCATAATACTTTTTGTACTAATGCTAAAGTCAGATATATTTCCTTTGATTTTTTCTGGAAAATGTTTTTAAGTTGTCTTAAACGGGATATAGAAAAGATGAACTCAAGGTGAACTTTAAAGCAAATTAACTGTCTTTTAAATCAATGCATTTCTTCACCACATTTTAGTGTCAATAATGTAATACTTTTATTGGTTATAAAACTAAGTAGAATGAAGAAATTTTGTTCTACCTGAAATCAAGAAATTATATACAACACTAAGACTATCCATCTCCACAGTGTAGAAAATCAGCAATTGTGCTAATCAAACATATGAAATTATCTTGAAAACTATATACATTTGAAAACTACATAAAGTGCAATAGAATCTAGTAAAGCCTTGATTCACAAAGATGCAGGTTCCCTGCCAAAGCCATTACACATTTCATCACTTAAAATGCCCTTAATACTTAATTAAGGAAGTTTATACTCATAGGACATCACATACATTTGCAGGTGCTGCTGTACTTTTCATATTGGTCAACATCTAAATAATCCCCCCCAAATTCTCACCTTTTCTATGCTAGTCAAGACCAAGCATCACAAATAAGAGCCCAAAGGTACATATTATATATATATATATTTACAAGAGTTATGAGAAAGTAACTTTAATTATATAGCATGCAATACAACTGCTACCCTAATGAGTAGAGATACCTTGAACAACTCAAACAGCATATGAAACAGATGTGAGGGCACATAGACTACTTGAATAGGCTTGTCTGGAGCTTTAGCTAGAAAGAAAACAAAGCATCAATTAATGGGCAAAATTTTTCAAGAATGTTCCACAATCCACTCCATCTACTGGTGCGATCCAAATTTGTAACAAAGATATGTTCTCTCTCTCTGTGCGATAGTTGCAAAGATGCTTCAAAATGAAACATAGGTCAGCCATACGGAAGTACAATAAGATATGGACAACCTCTCTATTTTGGAGAACGCTCAGAAAAGCTAAGGTGGCTGTTAACAGTGATATCTGATTCCACACACAGCAGTTTTCACTCAGCATTGATAATGAAACAAATGCTACAATACATAGGAGTTATTCTGTATACACTGTTGGAGTTTAAACTCCCGAATTTCTTAACTATTCTTGAAGGGAAGATGATTAGAAAGTGAGTAAAAACAAGACCCCATCTATATAAAGTATTACAATTCTGTAATTCTGCCATAATTTAAATTTTATCTGCAAAACTGAAAGCTAGTTACTTTTTATTAGGACTCATGGTAGAGGAGGTATTTTTTGTTAGGCCAACAAGATTTCTGCCAAAATATATATATTTTGCAAAAGTCTAGTTGGTCTAATAAAAAAATATCACCTCTACCATGAGTCCTGATTCCTTTTGCCTCTAAACCAACATGGCTACAACCTGGATACCTTACTTTTTATTAAGCTTATGTAAAAACAAAAATCCAGCATTTCTTACATCATTTAAAATAAAACAAACTACATTATTACCATTGAATTCTTCAACTTCCAAATCTGGTGCAACCATATAGTATTGCTCACACAACATCTTAGCTGTTTCATAAGCATCTATGAAAGAACAACAACAAAAACGTACTTAACACAGAATTATGCAAAAAGGCCAGAAAAGTTCATCTTACACCTCCCGTAAAAAAAAAATTTTGCATGCAGAAAGCTGACTTTCAGGCATTGGTTTACAAATGTGAAATCAATGTACATTTTAATGTTATCCATATCACAGTTGTATGGTGAACAAAGGAGATTATCAATGGAAAAAGAAAAAAAATCACTATCAAAGTTACCTAAGTGAAAGAAGAAAACAGCCAGGGTATTATCTTGGTGAGGGTCAACTACAAACCACCCAACCAACAAGAGAAGGTGGTAAAAGCTTTATTTATTTATTTATTTTTAACTGTAATTAAACATCCAAACCAGAGGACCTGGTGCCTCTGATCTGGATTTACATTGGATAAATCCAGATCAGAGTTCTTTGGACTCTCTCAAGCTTGTCCATGTCCCTGTTAAAGTGTGGTGCCCAGAACTGGATGCAGTACTCCAGCTGTAGTCTCACCAATGCTGAGTAGAGAGTAAGAATCACCTCCTTGGATTTGCTGGAGATGCATCAATTGATGCATGCCGGAGTATTATTTGCCCTACTGGCTACAGCATCGCACTGCTGGTTCATATTCATACTATGGTTTATTATTACCCCCAGGTTCCTTTCATTCGTGGTGTTAGTGAGTTTGGTGCCGCCAATCCTGTAGGTGCATTGGGGGTTGCTCATCCTGAGGTGGAGCACTTTACATTTCTTGATGTGGAACTTCATCAGGTTCTGATCTGCCCAACTTGCTAGCCTATCTAGGTCCACCTGTAACTGTAGCCTATCTTCAAGTGTGACCACGCTTCCCCATAACTTGGTGTCATCTGCGAACTTGGCCAGTGAGCTCTTTGCCCACACATCCAAATTGTTAATATAGATGTTGAAAAGTACTGGACAGAGCACCAACCCCTGTGGGACACCACTAAACACGTCACACCACAGTGACAGATCTGTTCACTATGACTCTCTGGGTCCTATCCTGCAGCCAGTTTTTCACCCACCTGACTGTCTTGGAGTTAACCCCACAATCCTCCAATTTTCTCGCGAGACATCATGGGATATTAGATCAAAGGCCTATTGAAAATCTAGGTATACAATGTCAACCTGCTCTTTCGTGTCCAGATGGCGAGTTACCTGGTCATAGAAGGAGAGACCTGCCCATGATAAAGTCATGCCTGCTGTCATTCAGAATCTTACCTTCTGCAAGCTTATCACAGAGACACATTGATGGACTTTTCTAGGATTTTCCCTAGGATGGAAGTTAGACTGAATGGTCTATAGTTACCCGGGTCCCCCCTCCTGCCCTTCTTGTGGTTGGGTACAACACTGGCCCTCTTCCACTCCTCAGGGACTTCTCCAGAGCACCAAAAGTTGTGGAAGAGTTTCACTAAGGGTTCTGCAAGGACTTCAGCCAGCTCCTTCAGCACTCTCAGATGAAGATTATACAAGTCAGCAGGACCGGATATGTCTATTTTTATTAATTGGTCATATACCAATTCTACGGCAATAGTAGGAAAGCAATTATTCCTACCGTGCTCATCCTTTACTCTACCTGATGTGGTTTTCACCTTGGTCTGGTGAAAGACTGAGACAAAGTAGTCATTCAGAAGTTCCTGGGTGCCAGTAACCAGCTCTCCTGAGTTGTTAAGCAATGGCCCCACATTCCCATTTGTTTTCCTCCTGTTCCTTATGCACCTAAAGAAGGACTTATTGTTGTCCTTGATTCCTGTTGCTAATCTAAGTTTGGTCGCTGCTTTAGCCTTTATCTGTTCCCTGCAAATGCAGGATGTTGTGGAATAGTCCTCCTTGGGGCCTGCCCCGAGCTTCCATTGTGTATAAGCCTCTTTTTCTTCTTTTTTAAGAGGACCATGATTTCCCAGTTTAGCCAAGAGGCCTTCCCAGCCCTTCTGTTACCTTTTCTCTGCATGGGAATGGGCTTCCTTTGTGCTTCAAAGATTGTGTCCTTAAGGAACAACCACTCTTTGCGCACACCTTTTGTCTTCAGTCCCCGGTCCTGCAGCACTTGCCCTACTAGTGGCCTAAGCTTGTTGAAATTTGCATTTTTGAAGTCCAAGAGTTCAATCCTGCTATCCAATTTCTCTGCCTTATGTCAGACAGTGAACATGATGATTCACTATCATGTTCACTATTGCTATCGCCCAGACTTCCCTGTATATTTAAGTTGGTCACCAAGTCATCTTCTTTGGCCAGGACCAAGTCTAGCAGAGCATCACATCTGGTTGGATCACGTACCTCCTGAGTCAGGAAAAGCTCCTTGACACAGGTCAGGAAGGATTGTGACCACTGCAGAATGCAGAAAAGGCTGAAGTGCTCAATGCCTTCTTCGTCTCAGTCTTCACAGGCAAGGCCAGCTCTCAGACTACTGCACTGGGCAGCACAGTTTGAGGAGGTGAGCAGCCAAGCGTGGCAAAAAAGCAGGTTAGGGACTATCTAGAAAAGCTGGATGTGTACAAATCCAGGGAACTGGAAGGGATTCACGCAAGGGTGCTGAAGGAGTTGGCTGATGAGATTGCAGAGCCACTGGCCATCATCTTTGAAAACTCACGGCAAATCGGGAGACATCCTGGATGATTGGAAAAGAGAAAACATAGTGCCTGTATTTAAGACAGGAAAAAGGAGGATCCAGGGAACTACAGACCAGTCAGCCTCACCTCCGTTCCTAGAAAAATCATGGAGCAGGTCTTCAAGGAATCCATTTCTAAGCACTTGGAGGAGAAGAAAGTCATTAGAAACAGTCAGCATGGATTCACCAGAGACAAGTCATGCCTGACCAACCTGATTGCCTTCTATGATGAGATGACTGGCTCTTTGGATGTGAGGAGGCCAGTGAATGTGGTATACCTTGATTTTAGCAAGGCTTCTGATACAGTCTCCCGCAACATTCTCGCAGGCAAGCTAAGGAAGTACAGGCTGGATGAACGGACTGTAAGGTGGACAGAAAACTGGCTGGAGCATTGGGTTCAAAGGATAGTAATCAATGGCCCAATGTTTTTATAATTGACATGGAAGATAGCATGGAGTGCACCCTCAGCAAGTTTACAGATGACACCAAGCTGGGGGGAGCAGTAGATACACTGGAGGGTAGGGCTGGGATTCAGAGTGACCGAGACAAATTGGAGGATTGGGCCAAAAGAAATCCTCATGAGGTTCAACAAGGATGGGTGCAGAGTCCTGCACTTAGGACAGAACAATCCCATGCACCAGTACAGACTGGGGGCTGACTGGCTGGGCAACAGCTCTGCATAAGAGGACCTGGGAGTATAAGCCAGCAGTGTGCCCTTGTTGCAAAGAAGGCTAACAGCATACTGGGCTGCACTGGTAGGTGCCAGCAGGTCAAAGGAAGCGATCATTCATGAGGCCACATTTGGAGTACTGTGTGCAGTTTTTGAGCCCCCACTACTACAGAAAGCATGTGGACAAATTGGAGAGAGTCCAGCAGAGGGCAACAAAAATGGTGAGGGGGCTGGGGCACATGACTTATAAGGAGAGGCTGAGGGAACTGGGCATATTTAGTCTAGAGAAGAGGAGACTGAGAGGGGATTTAATAGCAGCCTTCAACTACCTGAAGGGTGGTCCCAAAAAGGATGGAGCTAGACTGTTTTTAGTGGTGGCAAATGACAGAACAAGGAGCAACGATCTCAAGTTACAGCAACGGAAGTTTAGATTAGATACTAGGAAGAATTTTCTCACTAGGAGGGTAGTAAAGCACTGTAACAGGTTAGCGAGAGAGGTTATGGACTCTCCATCCTTGGAGGTTTTTAAGACCTGACTAGACAAAGCTTTAACTGGGATGATCTAGTTAGGGATGGTCCTTCTTTGAGCAGGTGGTTGGACTAGATATCCTCCTGAGGTCCTTTCCAGCCCTAATTTCTATGATTCTAAATTACAATAAGGGATAGTTAGGTTAGATATTAGGAAGAACTCTTGCTATATAGATGGTTAAGCATTGGAAGAGATTACTTAGGTTGCAGAATGTCCATCATTGTAAGTTTGTCAAGCCTAGGTTAGACAGACATTCGACTGTTTTTTCTGAGAACAGGAGTGGGCAACCTGCTGCAGAGCCAGTCTGTGTGTGAGAGACATGTGGGCTGACTGGAGAGGAGAAAGGCAGCAAAGTGGCAGATAGGGCAGGGAGCAGAAAGCGGAGCAGCAGACTGGTCAGGGAACACAGGTCAGGGAGCAGAAAACAGAGCAACAGAGCAAGGGGACTGAAGTGGCACTCAGGGATGATGCAGGGCTAATTTGCTGCATGTCTACCAAGAAGTTTACCCCCAACTGTTTTAGAAAGTCATGATCCTGCTAAAACTGGGGTTTGGACTAACTCAGGGGATGTCAACCTGGGGTACTTGCACCCCCAGGGGTACTTGAGAAGGCCTAAGGGGTACGCACGGGCGGGCAGGGTTGGAGCATTGCCACATGCGATTCCACGCTGCCGTGCAGGCGCTGCCCACCCGGCTGGATGTGGGGAACAGGGGAAGCTTACACGCGGCGGCTTCCACCACTCTACATCTGGCCACATGCCACCCTCTCCCCCCACCCTCCCAGCCGCACGCCACCACCCCCCTCCTCCCCTACATCCGGCCGCCAGGGGTACACTGCTCCATGTCCAACCACCGGGGGTACACTGACCCAAAAAAGTTGAAAACCCCTGTACTAACTAAACCTCTTGACATTCTGTTCAGCCCTCTTTTTCTATGATTCTACATGGGTTGTTCAAGTATAGCATATCTTTGTTTGAACAAGAAGTGTATTCTTGCCCTGAAGATTTGTAGCAGTCTTGCTAATAAGTGTGACCGTGAACAGCAAGGCAGGATAAACTTCTAGGAAAAGAGTCAAAGGCTGGGCTATAACGTCTGGTGCCTCTGGTGTGGTTTGTACAAAAACGAAGTGGGTGAATGTAAGCTAGAAGTACTTAGATAGCGGGCATAGTGAATATAACTGGGTCTTAGCCATCACAATCTGACAGTTTTTCCTGTTGGCTCCACGCTACTTGGTCAACTATAACAGAACTACTCAAGTGAATAATGGTTGTTGGATCCAAAATGGCCAATATTTGATGTTTTACTAAAAAATTGAGTAGCTGACATTTTAGGATTCACTTTAACAATATATCATTAATTTGTATGATTTGGGAAAGGAAAACAAAAGTAGAGACACATCAAGAATCTCTTCTAATTCTTTTTTTTTTTTTTTTTGCTCTGGCAACCTATGCCATTATACCACTGTCACAGAGCACTCAGGGGCTCTGTGCCTGAAGAGGTAAAAACTGTTGGAGAAGGAGCTCTAGCAGTGGCTAAGGAGCACAGCTGCGGGTTGCCGGGGCAACCAGGGAAGGTCAGCTGACCAGAGGGGGCAGGGCCTGACCCTTATAAAGCCCAAGGAGCTGAGACCAGAGGCAGTTCCCTGCCAGCAGCCAGAGAGGCGGGAGCTCCTGGAGTAGGGATGCGAGAAGCAACCGCAGGTACTGCTTGAGCCAGATAACAGAAGGCAGCTCCAAGATGTCGGAGCACTGTGGTTGTAGCCAGGTGGCTTATAGTTATGTTGCAGCCTAGGGGCTTGTGTTTTGTTTTGTTTATTACACCGGTGGTTTGGGTGAGGCTATAATGGGTTGAAGGAGGCCTCATCAGGGACTCACAGCGCAGTGTGAGGACCCCGGCGCCAGTGAGGGCGCAGCTTGCGGGGTGCTTGGACCCCAGCCCCTGAGAGGGGGCATTTGAGCCCTACAGAGGGGTAGCTTTGAGAAGCCCAAGTTGGGCACAACGCCCCAGGAAGGGGGCAACTCTGAGAGGCCCAAGGTAGGCACGGCCAGCCCCAGAGAGGGGGCAGCACTAAGGAGAAGCCCAAGGGTGGGCGTAGAGATCCCCTAAAGAGGGGGGGACAATATTGAGAAGCCCAAATTGGGCACGACGAGCCCAGATAGGGGGCATTGTAGGGAGGCCCAAGTTGGACCCCAGAAAGCCCCAGGAGGGAGCAGACGGTGATTACATCTGCGAGGCTTGGGCTGCGGTATTGGGGAGGAAAGGAGCCGCAGATAGCGCCCCCTGGCAACGGGGCAGAAGAATGGCAGCCCCCCGCTAATTAATATCAACTACTTAATTAACATCAAGGCATGGCAGGAGAGAAGGCGGGCGGTTGCCGCAGGAACAGGTGAGCGGGTCACAGTTTGGCTCGGCTCGGAAACGGTACCTGTTACAACCACCTATGGGGAAAAAAATCAGCTAACTGGAGCAAATACCTATCTATCTTAAAAGCACACTAAAATGTAATAGCACTTTGTAACAAGCAGTAATTGTTACTCTGAATTGTTACTCTGAAAAATGAAGGGTTTTTTGGTTGGTTTTTTTTAAAAATGACTATACATACCAGCAAAATTTATGCTTATGACCTCCTAAATGAAAAACCAAAAAAGTATCTAAGGGATTAGAAAAAACATTGCTGGCAATATCAAACTGGCCACATCTTATTTATTTATTTTCAGGTTACTAGAACCATTTGATTTTGCCCAAATATCATACAGTTTTTTTAAATAACCCCCAAACTGACTAACATAATTCTTCATTCGGACAAGGCTAGCTTGGGATTTTCACTTATTCCAAAAGGCAAACTGGGAAATGAAAACATTTAAGCCATTTTTTATTTTTTTTTTTAACTTTCAAATGCTTCTAACCCACTAGGTAAAATTTACCACATGGTTAAACTGGTAACAACAGGTAAAATAAATGTAGCACATTAGTTGAATACAGTTCTGGGTATAACAATTTCTAGGCAATTAATAATATTCTTTTATATCCTATAAGGCCCTCCATTAGCTTCTTTTCTATTTCTTATACCTCTTCAACAGCATTGTGGTCACACAACTTAAAACCAATTAACTCTGAGTTAAACTGGGAAAAGGAGAGTTTTTAAAAGAGAACAGCATAAATAAATGTTTCCTCTCAAGGCCATAAAATGCCTTCTGCATACAAAAATTCCTAGTTCCTGTCAGCCTAAGAGCAAGCAGGAAAAATACAATGCCACAACACCACAACTTTTAATTCTAATGTACCATCATCCTGGCACAGTTTATTAATTATAGCTTTAGATCAGGGTTCAGATACCAAAAAAATATGTACATATTAACATCCCCTGCATATGAAATGTTTACATGTACATATACAATATGCACACAAATGCTTCATGAGAACATCACTGTATGACTAGACATAAAGTTATAAAAAGACACCATATATTTGTAAGGCCCCAAGACAAAGCCGAAAGCATTCAAGGGTAGGTCTACACAACACAGTACAGTGTCACATAGAAATAACTGCTTATGTACAGAGACCAGAATACCCACACCAGGAAAGTGCTCTATTCAGGCTAAATAGCCTTGGCAGAATGCCATGCTGAGGCAGTTACATTACAAAGCTGTCATGGGTAGCTCTTCATAGAACTGCACTATACTATGTAGATGCATCCAAATTATCTGATGATTGTGCCCACATTATAACCTTGTTTTACTGACTTTTTTTAAAATTCAAGTAGGCCTCTAAGGTATTCTTACAAGAACAGTCTCCATACAACCAATTATTTGTTCTAGCAGTGATGTCAAGTAGAGAGGATTACTTGAAGAGTACATATTCAAACAAAGTTCTTAAGAATAACAATTACATTTTAACAACTTTGTCAGTTATAAAGGAAAGATGGTAAGGATGACTAGCTATACAAGGGAGAGCAACAAATACGCTACTTTGTATATAAAAGACAGATTCCAGTTATAATTTTGTCTTTTTATTTATATTTAACAGGCTACTAGCTTTAGAATTGTAGATTGGATGGAGACTAGAAATCCTTGATATTTTTGGCCTTACCATATTTTTATGTATACACTAGCCCCCCACAAGCGCTGTTTTTGAAAGGCAGAATGTTTGTGTGGGGAGGAATCTTTTCTTAAAAATACTGGTAAGCTGCAGGGGGAAAAGGGGGCAGTGGGGTGGTGAGACTGGGAATGTCCACAGCCAGCCAGGAACTAGGAAGCCTCAGGGGTAGCACTACCGTATTACTCTCACTTTCTCCTGAAAGAGGCAGAAACTGCTATAACCATATTTCCTTGCTTATTACATGCACCCAAATTTTCAGCAACTGGATTCTGGGGAAAAGGTGCATGTTGCATTAAAAAATGTACATGGCTGAGGAACTATTTTAAATGCACCCTTAAACTATAAGGAGTAATAAACAGAGATAACCCATCTATTGCCTTTTATCTAAATACTGTACACAGACATGCATATATGTGTTGGGGTTCTGAAACATAAACAGAAATATTACATTCATTTCCTTACCTTGAACTACATCAGCAACATTACAATTAGGATCGATACTACCAATATGTTTGGGATGAGCAGGATTAATGTCTCCACCAAAAAGTAGCGCTAACAGAAAAGAAGTTAGCAGTTAATTGATTAGGTATTATATTTGAGATAGTCTTGATCATGAATAAGAACATTGTCAGGGACTAAGTCTTTACAACAGAATATCAAATCTTGTCATATGTACATCCTCTGATTTTTGTTTTTTCTCTGTACTGTCACACAGAAATTTGTTTAGTAATAATACCTTGCAATATCTAATACAATACAAGATATGAAGGCAATGGAGTCTAATAGTCTTTAATGGTATGTCCGCGTAGGAAAAGTGAAAAACTCTCATCATTTCCTTAAAGTAAACAGACTATATAACAATCAGAATTGTAAATACTACCTTCACTCTTCACAACCGTTACAACATTGGAAATGTTACAGTAAAAACATAAGAGCAGATGGGAACTGTATGCTAGAAGTAGAAAATGATTTCTAGTCCTAAGCATCATTTTGTCAATAAAGTATCAATAAATTTGTCAATTGTCCTCCAGTACCTATTCCTCTTTGCAGCACTTAAAGAAAAATGTTTAATCTAATATCCATGCTGAATCCCTACAATTTAAATTCACCTGTTTATGTTTAGCTAATGGAACTTTAAGCAAACTAAAATCAGGCAAATCCTGTTTAAATCTGATACAAGCATCCATAACTTAACTAAAGCAATGTAATATACTACACACAAATTTAAATAGTACAACTTGTGTGGGTTTTTTTTGGAACTAAGACATTTGACAGAAAGGAGATGTTACTTGTTGTTAGCACATTTCATATAAGGGTCTTTTTCGCTTATGTACATTTTGTTTATTTTTTAGTCTGTCGTGACTTAAAAATGAATATTCGATTCATCTCACCCCTTCAGCCTTACTATCCATTAACCATAAGTCATTATTAATATTTTTAAAAATTAAAGTGACTGAACATAAACTGGTAGTAGCATACCCTGATAAAACTTCTGTACATGATATGAATCCTTGTTTCCAACATCATGAACGACAAAATATTGGACAGAAATTTAAGCTTTAGAACCAACAGTACAAAGATACACTATATAAAACCACAAGATTGACCCTAACTGGATGTGGTTCATAATCAATACTGTTCCAGCTATTGGTTACTTGGATCTGCACAAGTAACTCCTTTTAAACTATCATGAATACTAAAGCAGGATTTTTATAGCAGCAGTACAAACCTATGAAAGAAGATCTATGCAAAGTCAAAATGACTCAAACACTTATTACTTAAAGGAGGAATAAAAATTGAACATTATAAATACATCCTTTCTTTAGAAAACAAGTGAAACTAGTCAAATAACTGCAAGATACATTATAACATGCTGAAAAGCACTTAGCTATTAAAATATGTATAGTGAACAAACATTAGGCCAAAACATTATAAAACTGAAGAGGTGGTAAACTGTTTTTTATGATGACACTTTCAAAGTATTTTAACAGAGAGGCAAGCATAAAGATGCAGTTACTTTATCAATATCCAAAAATAGCTCCTACCACTTTTTAAGTTGTATCTAATGGCATGACAAAAAACCCCACACTATCACACTGACAAAACAGAGCACAAATCTAAAATTTGGAAGAAAGACCTAATGTTCTGCTTAGTGCATCATATTTCTGTAGTTTTTGGAGGTTTCAAGGTGGTTACTACAATAGAACTTACACCATCTTAACTTAAGAATACTCAAAGCAAGTCACTGGAGTGAGAAATACCAAACCAGTGCTGTATCTTTGGGTTTAAAAGCAATAACTAATTCCCCTTCCAAGGTGAAAAAAATAAATAATAAGTACTTACTGTGCTGGTTAATAAGCATGCGGAACGAGATGCGGTTGGTATAGAACCTATCTAGAAAATACTGGATATTACTACTAACAAACGGATCAAAGCCATACTTTTCCTTGTATTCAATCACTCCTTGTGCCATGGTTGGAACCACATCATTGTGCCTGTTTCTGACTTTTACTAAAACCTCTAGAAAACTGAAGAAAACACAAAATTAGAAAGCAGAATGTTAAAGTAAAAAGAATCTCATGCTCCTTCTCTCCCCTCAAATATTCACTCACAATATAAAACTTTTATATGGTAATCCATATCCCTTAAGATTACTAGAGAAAAAAGCCAAAATATATTCCTTATCTACCACTATACATGCTTTTCAAAAGAGAAATAGATTGAGTGTAACTGAATGTTCATGCTAGCATAACAAACGTACAATGGTCCCTTACTATTTTTTTTAATTTTTTTTTTTTTTTTTTTTTTTTTTGTGGTGCATAATGTATTTTCTCCAAATCTCTCATCATCTTTAATCCAAAACAGCAGATGACTTATTTTTCCTTCCATCCTACCTGGAATTTGAATCTCAGATATATTCTATGTGGGATAACATGTTGGTGTGGAACACACAGGAAACAAACAATGTTTCAAAATATCCAAACATTTTGTTTAAACACAAATGAGGCAATACAGCCTTTCTGTAAAACCTACTAGCATTGTGAAAAGTGTGCCCAGAGTCTATTTTCGAAGTAGGTACCAAATGGTAGGTACTTACTCATGATACTTACACAATTTTGTTATGTAGTATTTTTATGTGCATAATTAAATCAGTTTCTTTTTATGCCACCAGATGGCAGAACACACATAATGGCACTTTCTCTTTTTTTTTTCTTAAGGAATTGTCCCTTTTAGAGCTCACGAAGTGTTAAGATCCTACTTTCAGTTATTGCCTTTAATTATACTGATATGGGGTCATAGTAGGTGTGGAGTCTAAACGGGAAGATAATTTTTTGGGGTTTTTTTGGTTGTTGAACTTAACCCAAGCCTACAATCTTCAAAAAGACACATCTCAAAGAAATTACACAAAACAGGAAGGAGTGTTTAAACTACAAAATGATGACATGCACAATTCCAGTTTTACATAGGAACTAAAACAGCTTTTTACTATCTCTAAACATTAAAAGTAATTTTTCTCCTACTGATGTTAATGAGAGTCAACACCATAGCAGTGATTTTTCCTCTGGTTTCAAAATCAAACTGAAACAAAATACAACAATTCTAAAAAAACAATAAAGATAGGATATGTTAGTTGGCTGAGTATGTACTGGCAAAACGAAGGGGTCTCTCTACCTGCAAACTGAAATAAACTGTCAGTGAGTTTATAAGAACTTAAAAGTATTTAAAGAAATTTACAAGTATTTGATAAATGGACTGAATAATTGACTAAAAGAACATAAGCACTGCCTCCAGAAGAAACACATAATAATATATTAGATTTTGTGAAGATACAGAATGGTAAACTGAGTAATTAGTCACTAGTATCTGCTACTTCTGCTTTAAAACCTTAGTTTTTGCCATTGGAAATATCATCCATCAACTTGAAGCTTTATGTACTCCAAAAGTGTTTTCATGAACTGTCACTACCATCACTGGATTTCAAAGTTTTAAACAGTCCAGTGAAAAGCCTAAACAATAGTTTGGAACAAGAGCAGTACATCAAAATTGTTTCCTTTATCTCATGCTGCTTCTTAAGTAAAAGGAAATGAGCAGCTTCATTAGTTTCTCAGAACCCCTGTATATTTTTCATCTGATCACGTGCTTCAGGCCCTACAATATTCATGGGGAAGTAAAACACACTGCTCCTAATGATATATTATTTTTTCCTTAAAAATGCTTATTTCCTCCTACACTGCTGACTGTGGTGGAATGTTGCTCATGAAATACTGTATTCACCACCTTCTATGTAATATTTAAAATGTCTCGCATGTTCTTTCAAAATCATCTCTTACTTTGAAGTATAATCCCTTGTGGCTACTTCCTTTATCTTCAAAGTTGCTTTACTTCATATTTGAAGGTACTCCTTTCTATGAAAAACATTATGCTTTTGGTTTGTTTTTTTTTAAACAAGTCAATAAACTGAAAGCAAATAGGTATGTTTGAGACTAAAACCTGTCCTTAATGTTGCCATTTGGAGACATTTTCTGAGTGACTGACTTCTGATCTTTTCATTTTATCCAGGTTGAGGAAGAATATAAACAAATTCAAAATACACTAAAATAAGATCAGAATGAAAAAAGTTATTTATTAGACTTCTTTGAGACACACTGTACTCATGCCCACTTTTCATGTGCATGAACCACAAACACTTGAGCTCGTAGACTTTGCCTTAGCAGTATCTACAGATCTTACCATTCTTTCCTGCCTAGGCAGGGGGTTGGACTCGATGATCTGTTGAGGTCCCTTCTGACCCCAGCATCTATGAATCTACCATAGCTCCTCCCTTCCTTGTGCTACATGCCAAGTATATAACAGGTGGGCTGTGCTTCCTGCTCCTCAGTTCAGTATCAACCACAGTGTCATATTGTATCAGACTCTAAGAAGAACAGGAAGAAGGGTAGGATTCATGTGCCTATGGACAGTACAACCTGAACTTCTGTCATAGATAAATAATCCATCTTTTCCTTCAAATGATTACCTGTATGCACCTCTCAACTGTGGCAACTCCAAAGCAGTGCTTACATTCCTCAAGTAGGTCACAAGATCCTAAGTGAGCAACAGCTGAAGGAGCACCTTACTAAATGCAGTATCTGCCTGGAAGATTTCTTCAATGGCAGAGTATTTGATAAGGTATGTATTGAGTTCTGGGGGCTGCCCTGTAGATATCATTATGTAGAGATACTACAGAAGTTGCCCAGATCCTGGTGGAATGACTACCCATAGTAGTATCACCCAAGAAGTTTTCCAGTATAAACAAATTCTGATAGCCCAGCAAACAATATTTGGGTTAATACTGCAGCATCCCTGGAGCACTTAACTGGGGAAACAGCCATAGTGATTTCCTTTGTAGTTAGGCAGTCTCTTCACACTGAGTTACCAACACATTTGTATGAACAGGGATTAAGGAAAAATACCGGCAAGCTGATTAGCTGACCAAGGTGAAGCCACTTCAGCTAGGAACTTGGGATAGGTTCTTAAGGATACAGTATGAGGAGCCACCATGAGGGCTTGCATCTTACCCTCCTTGCTGAAGTAACTGACATCACAAAAGTGGATATTATGGGAGGGTGAAGAAAGGAGATGCTGCCATGGGTTAATACAGCAAATCCCCTTCAAGGCATGAAAACCAAATACAGGCCTCTCTGTGGAATGTCATCTTCCAAAAGCAAAAGACCTTGGTAAGGCCCTTAAGGAATCTCAGGACTACTGGGAGGTGGAAAAGCACATGCTGGCCATCAGCCAGGAAGAAGTGAACCAAAATAGTGGCCATGCACACTTTACTGAACTAATTGCAAAGTCCATATTTAAATTTCAATAGGTAGCTAGAGTAGGACTCAACAGGAGAGATTTCTCACCTGGCATCAATTCAAGAGTCCACTTCACCAGATCACTATGTCTAGTCTTATTCTGCTGCAAATAAGGTTGTCTCTTGTCCGCATTGCAACTCTCCCTCTGGTGGTCACCTGGCATTCAGGATGTGAGAAACCGGGAGTGTAGGCTTCAGTGAAGCACTCTTCTGTTCTGGGTGAGCAGATCCAGGGACAGAGGCAAAGTGTTGAGGTGGTCTTGGTACCAGAACTGTCTCAGGTATGTGGGGGCTGGAAAGATCATTTGGGCTACATGCTGCCTTACCTTGCCAAACACTTGGAGAACTAAAGACATGAGCAAGAAGGAATACAGGATTCCTGGCCAAGAAATGAAGAAACCATATGAAAAGGAGCCAGGACAGAGAAATTCCCTGGAGAGGGATTGGTACTTCTTGCTGATCTCCAAGGTGAACAGATCTATTGACCTCCAGAAATTGCAGTCTTCACAGATAAACTGGAGAAGCAAGTCTTTAAACTTCTGCTCAGCATGTAGGGAGAAGAATCTGCTAAGACTGTCCATTTGGTGTTCTGGAAGCCTAGAGGTATATTTCTGCAGGAGTAGTTGATGGCAAATACACCAATGCCAGGCATGGACTAATTTTCTACTGGTCTCCTTCTGAAGCCCTGGGGGAAACTTCTTTTTCAAGTCAGCCTTTGAACTATAATCCATTGTAAGCCTCTCCTAAATGAAGGAGATAGGCTGTCTCACTGATTAACTGGTGTTGGAGGATAAAGAACATGCAGCATAATCTGAATCACATGATTGGCCGCAAATCCTTTGGACAGAGATGGTGTCCAATCTCATTCTTTTTCCCGACTTGGGGTATAATTTACCTGTATATGCAACATTGTATAGGAATATGGGACTCTTAAGTAGTTTAAGCATTTGGAGTGCTTGGTGGATATGGCCATTGCGCTATTTGCGGAACAGTCGATTTAAATCCCAGATATTGGGAAGAAACCATAGTGAGTAGTCTAGGACTTCTGTGCTCTCAATCACAAAAAGAAAGGGGAGAAAGCCTGGGAAAGAAGCCAGAGGGGTAAAACATTTCTAAGATGGCGGCACCACATGGCACAAGACAAAATAAATTGGGAGGATAAGGGAGAGGAAAGCAGTTAAGCCTGAACAGGAGCCAAAGCCCAAACTTAAAAGTGAAAAGTAAAATAAAATAATGCTGAGAGAAAAGGATTAGTGTAGATATCTTTTAGTGGGTGATCTTTTATTGCATTGTTGGGATAGGCTTAGGAAGCCTGCGTTCAAATGATCATCCAAGTGTATTCCAAGCGTGAAGGTGGTCCAATAAAAAGTATCAACCACAAAAATTCTTGCCTCTTGTGTATTTCCTAGGCCATCATTGTTATAGCATCATTCCAACACTATAAAATAACATGTTTTGTTGGTTGTAGTGAAGGCAATGGAAAAAAAAGGAGTAAAAATATAGAAGCTCGTTCAAAAGTTTATACACCACAATAAGAATAAAATTAATAGAGTGCTGCATCTTGAGCTGCAGCTGCCGAGAGGACCTGAGGAGTAAAAAGTATACATGGCCCTTTCTTCACTCAGTATAAAATATGAGACGGGACAGAGCCTTGATGCACTCCACACTAGTCACTAATGTAGAAAGTTTCTGAATCTGAGTGCTTGTGGCATACACGCAAGCAAAGATGCACATATGAAAAATCATTCAAAGGAGAAAGTAAAAAAATCACCAATATTCTGAATTACTTATTAGTAACTGATTTTTCAAAAGACTGGGTATTAATAAATCATGTACCTAGCTACACAGATCAAGAACATTTAGAAACCTGTTTGGGTCTAATCAGAGAACTTGGTCCTTTAAATCATAACCCCCTCTTCAAAAACAACAGCTAGCAGAAAACAAGCTGAAATGAACGACAAGGATAGGGCTGAGTAGCAAACAGGTGTGGAGAGCTTTAAAAAACTTTAATCTTTGCCAAATAACTTAAAAATATATATATATCCATGATCCTTGAGTCTTTCACTCAAAGAATTAAAATGAGAAGAAAAGACTGGCAGAAAGAAAGTCAAGAGCGACTCACTTAAAATGAAATCTGCACATAAGTTCAGTCAGAAACGCAGAATGATGTTTGAGAACCACTCAAAAACCAAGAACTTAACGCGAAGGTGTGCATCTCGCTCACCTTTTTAGAGGAAGATATTGCTATTAGATATGTCAATTTAAAGTGCAGCTGCAGTCTGCAAAGGAGCAAGATAAAATGCCACTTTCTTACTTCAATATATTACTTCAAAACCAAAACAGATGAGGAAGAATCAGCAGTGTTTTGTTCCTAAGCGCTCATCTTTGCCAAGCTGTCTACCAAGCAGTGGACTAAAACTCTGGTAAAGATGCTGATTAGGTTTTGTCACATTTATGTTGTTTGAATAGTCCTGGGATGACTGACAGCCAATAACATATTTTGAAGCCTATCTGGGACTTTTAATTGGATGGGCTCTCTCTAACTGCAGCTTAGTAAAGATTTAAACAAACAAAAAACAATGATCTACAGAATTGTTGAGTTTAGGCCTCTAACAGAGAGCGAGTTTGTCCTTCTAACTGTGGGCAGAGCATATGATAATAGCAGTAAGAAAATGAAAGTAAGTTTGACTTTCAGTGGAAGTGCGTCCCTTTTCACCTGATCTGAATTTGGCCCTTGAAGCCTTTCACCTCAAAGTCACTAAGTTTCACATCAACTGAAACAGGTAGCAAAGGATACAATTCTAACCACAACCCAATTTGAAGACAAAATTCCCACAGACTTCAATGTGAATAGGATTTTATTCAAATGTTTTTTGCAGCATGATAAAATTGGTTACATTACATTAACTTACTGTTTCAGAATCAAGACTTTATATGATGCCCAAACTAAAGCTGAAGTTGTTTATGAGGGAAACCTGTAACAGAACACAAAGGCTAATCTGACTGTGCCAGCACTTCATTTTCAACACTGTACTCCAAAGCATTGAAAACTTCACTAAAAAAAATCTACTAGGACTGAATCAATCAATGCATATTAAATATAAAGGATTTTAAACTTCATGATCTGCCTTGAAAAAATCTGGAGTACATGAAGTAGGTATCTTTTTGGTCCAGAGAATCAGAAGTCTCATTGCTAAATTAGTCACAAAGAAGATGCAATAAGATGCTTGACCCCACCTGCAAGCAAGCTGTAATTATGACCATGTTAGAGAGCATTATGGAGGGACAAAAATATTATTTTGTCCCCTCAATCATGTTAACTGGGCTTCTTAATTGGGGTGGGCTAAGCTGCAAGCTAGCATGGCTTCAGATGTTAGCTCACAGCAGTGGTCACCAAGCAATGGATCTCAATCCACCGGTAGATCTCAGAGCCTCTTGGAGTCGATCCAAGGCTGGGGTGCATGCTTGAGTGCATCCACGCACTCTCTCCAGCCCAGCAGGTCAGTCCATGAGGGAGGGAAGGGGTGGGAGCTAAATCGAGGACCCCGCAGCGAGGGACAGTGCTGCAGAGGCAGGAGCAGGGGTAAGTCGAGCGGGGCCCCGGCTGGATGGGACTTACCTGCTGGGGAGGTGCACCCCCAAATAATTTTTCTTCCTCTACCTCAATCTGCTCCCCCCCTTTCCTCTCTGCAGACTTACCTGCTGGGCATTTGGGGGGGGGGGGGGGGGGGGGCCCCCAGACACCTTTGGGTGGGTGGCAGCAGTGCATGGTAGATCTTGGGTTGTTTTTAAATGCTAAAGGTGATCTCCTACTTTAAAAGGTTGGAGACCACTGGCCTACAGCAAAACAAGGTGCTTCAATTGTGCTAATCACAATTGAGCAAGAAAAAACATCTTTTTTTTCAGCTTGCATAAAGCAGAGCATATATATATATGCAGGACCATAAAGTATTTTATGAAAACTTTTACCATATAGTTTAATTCCCTGCCATCTTTTTATTGGAAATTGCCATAATTAAACTAACTTTCAAAGTTTCAAAATCAATCTGGCAAAGTAGCCAATTAAAAATTAAAATGCATAGGAAAAAAAATTGTTATAAATAGTCATCTAATGAAACATTGCTGTTCCAGAATCGAAGGCAATCAGAAAAATAGAACTATTAGCAAAGGTATTCTCAGATTCTACATTCTTGCCTTCGGCACCCTATGCACACACAGGGCAATGGAGTAGGGACCAACCTTTTTGGCAGGCAGGGCATAAGTTAGCCCCATACACTCTTTGAGTGCCACTCCTATTCCCTTCCTCTGCCCAACTGGCTGCTATGCTCTCTTCTCTATCCTGTGCCGCTACCCAATCCACTATTCTGCTTTCCACTCTCTACCCTGTGTTCATTCTCTGCCTGATTTGCTGCTCTGTTTTCTGCTCCCTGTCCTGTGTGCCCGTATGTTGACTGTCCCCACTTGGGGCACATGTGCCATAGGTTGGCCACCCCTGCAGTAAAGGAACTGCTAACATTTAGCTCTGCATCTGTCATTTACACAAACTCTTCTGAGTCCACTTTGTCTGGCATAAACCTCAGAAATTTTGTGATGGCAACTTCACAAATTATTACATTTCTATAAGAAGAAAAACAGTTAAACTTTCTCCTTGAAACAAATAATACTGTTCAAAATTCTATAGTTAAACTTTAGTAATAAATGGAATCTACTTGAACTTTCACTCTGGTATAGCTACTAGTAAGAAAAAAGTGACTGGCAATTTGTACACTTATTTTTAGTGTCATTTTCAAGTTGTACATATTGTTCAAAATATTAATGCATTCATATTATACATTAAACAGTATAATAGAGTACTGAGCTCAACAGAAGGAAAAAGCTACTATTTTTTAGTATTAAGCATTTGATATATAAGTATAGATTTTTACATATCCTTTCTCCTTAAATGCCTTTAATGAAGCACTTTATATAGTGTTGAAAATTAGGAGGTTATAATATACAATCTAGATGGTTCAAATACACAGATTTTCTATTGAAATCTCTGTCTGAGTGACACATTTGATTTTACCTACCCAAATTCCATCTTACAAGTGAGATTACTTCTATGATATTACAGTGCACAGAAATCCTAACTTGTAACAGATCATTTTCTAATGGGGTTTTTAAAATAAATTACTACTTACTCATCAAGAACATGAGGGTCCTCAGGGCTTTTATTTTCATATTCTAGAAGTTCAAGAAAACTCTGCATGTACCTGAAATATAAAGGAAGAACTAGGGTAACATTTAAAAAAAAAAGTAAGTAATTTAAAAGCCTAAGTCATTCTTGAAAATGTTACCTTAAAGCTGCAATTTGGTTTGTGGGGGGAGAGGATGTTGGGG